GCGCACAGCACTCCGTTCGTCGACAAGGACAAAGTACCGGAGGGTGTCGGCGCGCCACGGTGAGAGCGCCGCCTGCGCGGGACTGTAGATTATATGGTTCTGAGAAAATAAGGCGTGATCGAAGTTTCGAACGGTCGATCCTCAATGAGCTCATTTGTAATAATGCACTTTCGCCGCTTTTACTGGCTTCTGAACAAATGGCGTTGCTTTCTGAATTCTGATATCCTGCGGCACTCCTGTCTGAACTCTAACCGCCAGCGATGCTTCTGTCTGATCACTGTCGCTCCGTCCACCCTGCAGGAGGGCGCGCAATACGTGATGGCCCAGCCGGTGCCGCTCTCCGATGGGGACCTGGTCGCCGTGCTGGAGCTCTACCGTAACGCCTCCAACCCGTTCTACGAGGAAGACGAGGAGATCGTCAACAGCTACATCGTCTGGGGCGGCATCGCCCTCCACTACGCCGACCTCTACCACACGCTCAGCGACCAGCGCAAGGTCCACGACTTCATACTGGATGTCACAAAGTGAGTGGTTGCAGACCTTTGTTCTGCGGAACGGGCGCTGAACAAATGCTGGCCATTGCGGGCGAGAGAATCGGTAACTGCGTAGGTAGACTGTACCGCAGTACTGCGCTACGCTGCGGCACAGCCTACCAGTACAGGCAGTGGTGAGCCGAGCAGCGCACTATGGTTGGAAACGGCCTCACGGATGGCCGTGGGCAATTTCGGAATATATGTATATTTGGGGTGTCATTCTGTTGGAAATTGATGAAACGTTTTGAATTGGGCAGAAAAAAATATTTAGTTGCGCATTAAATCTCCATCATCGTACGTGGAATCGGGAGTTTCTGATAGTGGCTTTTTTGGTGCGCCGTCAAAGGTTTGAACAACCGCGCTGGTGATAGCATGTGGAGTACCTCCATGACGTTGTAAAACTGGATTATTATATATCAAAATAATCCTTGTTATGTTGGCTATCGAGTGGAGTGACTCTTTTTCCAATGCGTGTTCAAAATCAGGAACGGCATTGCATTCTGTTTGCAGTGTCACCATAGCAACATTTGCAAAATTACGTTTATGTTTCATTGGACATACAAAAAGTTCTCCATCGACCTCCATTGAGCTTTTTGGCAGAATAAACCTCTGTTCAATTCTGCGTAAGGGGAACGTAAAAGCAGACTGCGCACTTGTGCGCAAAATCGTCCGTGAAGCTTTATCTCCCGAGGCGTACCTCCCCGTCGCTTCGTTAGCACCAGGTCAGCTCGTCAGTCGTGCAATCGCTTATCCTAATAAATGATGGTAAGAAGTAGGGTTGCGGAGTCGTGGTGGCGCCAAATCCGACTCCGACTACGACTCCGACTCCTGACTCGTTGCCATGACTCCGGCCGACTCTGTCTCCGACTCCGGACCCCTGCCAGTGTTTCGGAGTCGTGATGGAGCTGTTCCGATTCGGACCGACTCAGACTTCCACTGCGGGCTCCTGACCGACCCCGACTCCGACTCCGACTCCTGGCTCGTTGCCACGACTCTGGGCGACTCTGACTCCGACTCTGACTCTGACTCCGACTCTGACTTCGACTCCGCACCCCTCGTAAGAAGTAACTGCTCGCCCCTGCACCTGGAGTATGGATATCGTGCAAACGTGTATGGATATCCTGGAGTATGGATATGGATATCCACTGACAAAACAGACATACAGACATGCCGTAAGCGCCAGTACACTGCCAATACCATGGCAAATCAAATGGCTATCTATGGTTTTTGATCATCGTTCTACATTTTCCAAAATCTTGAACTGGATGTTGACAATTTCTCGTGACTACTTCACGACCATGATGCATGCATTTCTGAAATTGATCTTTTTTCAACCAACCACGTACTCGTATGATAAAATAAATGTCACCATCGTGTTCTACGCCCAAAAGTACCCATAAAACATGTGTCATGGGCTGCGAATAGGTACCAGTTTTAATTTTCGGGGTTATGTGCTTACCTGATTGACCTGACTTTGACCCTGGTCAGTGGCCTATATGTTTGACTGACCCCTACCTTGATCTGACACTCTTTTAGCACTTATATGAAGGGTTGTGACAGTTGTGACAGTTGTGACAGATTGTTAGGACCAACTGATGACTGAATTTATTTAGAATGACGATATAATCGAACCGCGAAACGCGAGGCACCGATTGCGTGGTTCTAAAGTCCATGCTACTGAAAACCCGATTTCAAGTGTTTGACCTGACCTTGACCCGACCTGTGACCTCGAAATTCAACTTTAAAGTATTCATCTGAATCGTCTCGTCGCGTTCTTCTTTGGTTTGCCGCCTCGTGCGTTTCGCTGCGCCTATTTGTTCGCGAGTTATCGGCTGGGGCCGTTGAACGCCCCCCCCCCCCCGGCAAACGGCGGATGGGGAAATACCCCAGCAACTGCCGGGTTAATCTGACGCATGTTTTGTCATTTGATCGTCATCTTATTTCTTACTTTTTTGCCCAATCTAAAAAAATCATAAATACTCTTTCTCCAAATTTTTTACCCTTTATGACCAATAGTGAGACACTGTGCGTCACTACGTTGATATTTCTCGCCCTAAAGCATACCAACAATATCCATTCAGTAATAGCAGTATTCAAAACATGTTCAAAATGCCTCGCGATATCGATAGCATTACGAAAGGCATAGGCGACTTATAACATACTTGAAATGATGACGTCACACATGCGTGACGTGACGTGACCTCGTCATTTCTGAGTTACTGTATGATGCACGAAAGACACCGGCATACCTATGCAAAGTTTCATCGCAGTCGGTCTACGCATTAACAAGTTATGGGCAAAACATTTTTTCGCGTTGACCCCCGGCCATCCGTGAGGCCGTTTCCAACCATAGTGCAGCGGCGCGGCGGTGCGGCAGGCGGCAGCCTACCCCAACTGCTTGGACTAAAGTAGCGCACAACTACCGTTATAGTTATTGATTGCTTTAGCTTATGGCAAAACTGACATTAGACCAGCATGATTGATGAACCGGCTCGGTTTAGCCATATATGCTTTAGTTACACACAGTGCCAGGGCTGCGGAGTCGATGGATTTTCGGCGACTCCGACTCCGACTCCGGCTTTCAAAAACCAGCTCCGACTCCGACTCCGACTCCGGGCAGAATTGTCGACTCCGACCGACTCCAACTCCCGACTCCGACTCCGCAGACCTAGCAGGGCTGCGGAGTCGACAGATTTTCGGTGACTCCGACTCCGACTCCGGCTCGGGTTTCTAAAATCGACTCCGACTCCGACTCCGACTCCGGTCACAACTGTCGACTCCGACCGACTCCGACTCCGACTCCGCAGCCCTGCACAGTGCCAACCAAGTTTAGAATGTTTGCAATATGCTAGTTTTACCCCAGATCCAGTCGTCATTGCTACATTGCACACAAGCTTTTATTTCAAGCAATGACATGCCGATTACCGATCGTCTGTTTTGTTTCAGGTCGATATTCCAGGACATGGTGTCGATGGACACGCTCATCACGAAGATAATGAATTTCGCTCAGCGGCTGGTGACAGCCGACAGGGCATCCCTGTTCCTCATGGACGGTCGGACAAAGGAGCTGTACGCGCGGATATTCGATATGGGAAACGCGAACGGCGACTCCAGTCCGCAGGCTCAGGAGATCAGGTAAGAAAAGGGTTGGTCTCACACTAGATAACTAGTAATAATATAAGAATAACCAGTAACCTCATAGTATAAATCAGAAATAGGAACCAAAAAGTTATATTTAAAGTTATCGAATATTTCGCTCCTGGAGCTTCGTCAGCGATAATTACAGAATAATTATGATAATTACGATAATACAGAATAATACTTCGTCAGCGATAATTATGGTGCATTCTGTAATTATCGCTGACGAAGCTCCAGGAGCGAAATATTCGATAACTTTAAATATAACTTTTTGGCTCCTATTTCTGATTTATATTATGAGGTTACTGGTTATTCTTATATTATTATTATTCATTATGAGCCTCAAGCAGAGTTTCAGCTTTTTAAGAACTAGATAACTAGCCAAAGTTGATGTTTAGCGCAGACTGGAACTGGAGAGACACAGAGGCGTGGGGGAGAGACGTGACCCTGGACTGGGGATATTCAGAGACGGGCAGGCAGCGTTCTGGAGTTGAAGAGATGATAACCAGAATACATGAATTGGCGACAGAACATTGCGCAGAATGGGTACGAATAAAGAAGAGCAGTGTCGTCCAGTAGTTGACAAGTAATTTCAAGCTTGGACGCGACTCGCCAGAAGATGGTCTATACTTATAGTGGTCAAAATGAATCAACTCGGCTAAATCGTTTGGGATCAGGGATGTAATTTATCGCTGAACTCATGCTCATTTCTCAGCCAGTAAGTGCAATGGAAGAAGAACTACGTTGGATTCCACCGTAACACCAGTATCAGTATAGCGCCTTTTGGGGCGACTAACGGAGCGAGCGAGAGGGTGAGCCTTGCACGTGCGAAATTTCGAGGGGGTACCTCCAGCTGACTTGTGCACGGCACCCTACTAACCGGTCTCTAGCGATGTGCCAAATTTGAGCACAATCGGCCCAGCCGTTCTCGAGATCTGGAAGCGGCACCCTGCACGTGCGCACGTGCAAAATGGGTCCCAACTGACTTTTGCACGGCACCCTACTAACCGGTCCCTAACCATGTACCAAATTTGAGCGCCATCGGTCCAGCCGTTCTCGAGATCTGGAAACGACCCCTGCACGTGCGCACGTGCAGCAGCACCCCAACTCTGGCACATGGATATGCAGTGCCTAGTGGGTGCCTACCTACATGCCAACTTTCAGCGCAATCGGCCAAGTAGTTACCGAGATATTGCAACAATTACAAAAGTGACACCTCTTCGTTTTGCACGTGGCACGTGCATAAGGGGTCACCCACATGCATCGGGAATAGTCCAATACTTGGTAGAAGGAATGAAGCTACCCCACAAAAATTACCGCATGTAAATCGGTCAAGTGGTTGCTGAGATATAAGCCTCGCAAAAGCGTGACCACGGCCGGCCGGCCGGCCGGCCGGCCGGCCGCTCATACTCAGAAATTTCCGTTATTCTACGTAAGACTCCGCTCGCTTCGCTCGCTCCGTAATTAATTATGGTGCAAGAAAAAACTGCCGAGGATTACGGAATAGGCAGGTCGCGGGCAGATCAGACGAGTGACCCGGGACTCTGATTCGGGAGACTACTTGCTCCGGGCACCGACGTTTGCATCGATCGGCGACATGATTGATATTAGCTGGAAGGAGGCGCAGCCAGCTCCTTCCTCTTGCTGCGCACGTGGATGGCTTGCGGTCATCAGTGATAGCTACGAACATTTCCTCCGCTATAGCCTTGGTTCGCTGAAGGATTGAAGTAAACATTACAGTTCCAGTGAAGGGTCAAGTTTTGGAATTTCAAATGAGTCTATACATATACTGCTGGATAACATGGGCGGCGGAACGGGGAGGGCACCGGGGCACCGTGGACCCCTTTGATTTCGGCATTTTAACATGCATGGAAAGAATGGGATCAAAAGTCGGCACTCGGCAGTGCTCCCCCTTAATTGAAGGTATTCCGCCGCTACTACTGGATAAAACACCAACAACAGCTAAAAACATGAGGAAAATAAAATATTGCGCTTAGTGATGACTGCCTAATTTGACTCTCATTGCCTACCTGCTTTGTGCCTCACAATAAAATACGAAACCACAGATGAAGGAAGTCGCTGGCCATTCAAATTAATGGCGGACGTCGGTGGCCTACATCTGAACCTTGTCTGCAGGTTCGCCGTCGGCACGGGCATCGCCGGCCAGGTGGCACTGAACGCGCAGGGCCTCAACATCATCGACGCCTACGCCGACGACAGGTTCAACAGGTCCATCGACCAGCAGACGGGCTACGTGACCCGCTCGCTGCTCTGCATGCCCATCTTCAGCAGGGGCGTCGTCATTGGCGTCGTCCAGATGGTCAACAAGACCACGGGAGCCTACTTCACCAAGGTCAGTTCTGACATACGATCTATCAATAGTCTGAACTTACGTGAGTGTCTTGAAGGAAATCAACGATAGCGCAACTACTTTGAAGGATAAAGTGGACGGTTCCTGAATTTCATTTTATGAACTTAACTGGGAGATGGTTTATCGTGAATCAGACATTTATATTGTATATTGAAGCTTTACGTGTGTTTCTCATGACGCTTTTCTTGCAGGCGGACGAAGAGAATTTCGAGTTTTTCGCGGTGTATTGCGGCTTAGCGCTCCACCATGCCAAGCTATATGACAAGATTCGTCGCAGCGAGCAGAAATACAAGGCGAGTACAAGTTGTTTTTGGTCAGCTCGATTATTGATATTAGATATGAATGCATGCTCCATGAAACTTGAATATTTATGTACATATTTGTCTACTGAAGGATATACCGATAAATTAGTTCGACTAAAACTCAACGTTCATTTCAAAATGCAAAAAAGCAAGAACACTCCAACGGTTACCATTTCTCACATCATTTACTTGTCATTTCCTAGTGACGCTCACTCAAAGATAGCATTTCTCTGAAAAGGAATTTCATTTACCACTGGGTTTCGCTGCGAGGTTCTCATTCCGTTGTACAGTCAACAGGAGTGAATTCGCAGCAATCGTATCCACCCCGTGCCGCAAAGGATATCCATCAACGGCCACCCGAGCGAGTCGCAAACATACTTGCATTTGATACCTGCAACAACTCAAAGGCTTCTATTCAGTTTGTTTAGTTCCGTGTGATAGGGAATGAAAATGTGGCAGAACTATAGACGACTGTTGGATTTTCTATTGCTGTGCCGTTCTAAGCATTCTTGAAACGATGTTTTTGGGTCAGGGTGCACTCATCTTGTTAGGCTAGGATAAGCGCAATGAGTAGCCGTTAAAATGTTCACCGAGTAGGAATAGGCATGCTTACCGCTATGCGACAAAGATCATTTATATTCATCCACTATCGTGTTAGGAACCTGCTACTCATATAGACGGCTGCAAAGCATCTCAGCGCTAATGCCTGTACACTGTAAAAAAGTTTAGCACCATAGAGGTACTTTTCAATTGACTAATTTTCAGTACCCTAGCGGTGCTAAGCTAAGCATATTATTCGTACTTAACTGAGCTCTAGTTTAGTATCAAGGTGCTAATATAAGTACCCATATTTGTTTAGCACCCGTGTACTAAATGTAGTACCCTACACCTGCTAGACCAATTTTCAGTACCCTAGCGGTGCTAAACTTTAAAAGGTGCTAAGAATAGCATGCAGTTAGTACCTTCCGTACTCACATATGAACCGTTTTAGCGCTATTGTTACCCTACGACAAGTAGAATAATGCTAACGAAAGCATTGGGGCTGAAAGTAGAATATCTATAGGGGAAGTTGGGGCAATGCCGGAGTTGGGGCAAAGCCGAAATTCGAGATATTTCGAAAACTGTACGACATGGGTGCCACCTGTCAGTGATGCTCTGAAGCTTAAGTGACTATCAATTATTGCATGTTTGTTACGAGTCGTCACTCGGAATACTTCGGCTGTGAGGGCGCCAAGAGCGTTTTCAAGGTACGTTTCCCTTGTACTACATGCGCCTTTGAAGCAGCATTTCTTACTCATTATGCTACCGTTTGTCTGGCCAATTCGGTCAAGTAATCTTCAGCATGTCTTTGCATAAGTGTGCTGCCTATTTGAAATTCATACAGCACGTTGAAAAGTTATGGGCCTGCAAATGAAAGTATGGCTGGCTGGGGTAATGCCGAAAACGTGCAATTACGCACGTTAAAGCACGCTACGTGGACTTTCTGCTGTAGAATAGCAACGCATATTTTTAGTCACAAAAATTGCACTTTCAACCGACACAACGGCCTGTTTCCTATAAGGAATGATTTACCTGGCCTTTTCTTATTATATCACACAATTATAACTTCCAGTGTGCACCAAGCGTCCTCAAACTAATAAAAAAGTGTCAGCTTTGATGAATTCTGGATAAAGTTTGAGATAAAATGGCAAAACATCAATTTCGGCATTCCCCGTAGATAATTTCTCCCATTTTCGGCTTTCCCGCAGTCCGGGGCAACGCCGAAAAAGTCACTTCTCTGATATTTTTAGTTTGTGCGCTTAACGGTATGCGAATTCACCAAATGCGCCTGGTATATTTGAAAGGCAAAAGACTGGCCTCTCGAATGACGCCAACAAGAATAGCTTATGTTGTCTACCTTGCGTGCTACGGGCGTCAGAAAAAAGTATTCGGCGTTCCCCCAACTTCCCCTACTAGTTAAAGCTGCTGCATGAAAAGTTCGCAAAAACTGCTTTCTTTAACAGCACATACTTTCACTAGTTACTGCAAAAAGGACTAATCAATTACCAAAAAGGAAATTGTGTAAGGCCGAAAAGACGTGCAAAAAAGGTTATATCCTAGATAAGTGATAGCTACAAGTCTCAATGATTGTGTTTTGCATTCTGCAATATTCCCGTGTAAGTGCATCTTTCAAGCATCCAACACGTTATAAAATTAAAAAATAATAATGGAACATTTATTAACACTTCATATCATCTGCATGAAAAACAAATGTAAATATATACACAAACAAACACACGGGAAATAACGAAAGGTCGCTCATATACCTGCACACTCGCAGTGACCGACGATTAACGCGAGATCGACTGGGGGAGGCGGGGGGGGGGGGGGTCGTTGAACCGACGTTCCGTTCATGACCATAAGTTCGACCTCATCCACGACCAGACGGCGTTTAGTGATAGACGGAACCGGAGACCCCGTGTTGTTGTCGTAGTTGTCCTCCATTGTAAGTGGTAGTCGACGGAAGAACTGACCAGGCCCCATGCCTGGAGCAAAAAAAAAAACTGGATCAGTTCCAAGATTTTTTTTTTCTGTTGGGAGCTATTTTCGCAAACAACACAACTTTCCTTCAGACCAAGAAGCGCGATTTGCCAAAGTCGGAATATGAAGCACTTAAACAATATAAGATAATGTCAAAAGATACAACGTGTCAGACTCACCAAAGTCGATCAACGTCGGTGTTGGTGGCATGTGTCGGTGGCAAATGCTCATGTACCACCCGGCCCCGGAGCACTTCACTTCACTTCACTGCACTGCTGCACTGCACTTCCCTCCACCTCACTGCCTCCCGGAGCAGGGGTACGCACTCCCATGCCACGCACGACGTATTCCACCGATAATAGCTGATTTAAGCTATCATTCCAGAGCTATCACTCGGTGGCATGTGCCCGGAGCACTTCACTTCACTTCATTTCACTTCATATACCGGAGCACGTGCACACACTCCCACCACGACCAACGGACTCCACTAAAATGGCGCAACACGTGGCCGGAAACAGCTGGCACGCGCATGCGCATATCGCTCTGCGCCGTCAAAACGTGCTAAAGGGCTGGTGATAAGACTCCCAGAGATTTGTAAAGCAGGGCTTAGCTACTTTCTTTGGCGCCAATTTCAAATTTGTTTCCTCTGTAAGCATGTCCGGTTCTATTGTGATACTAACGTAAGCACCATATTCAGCATTACCAACTTCTAAAACACTTAAAATGGTTCTAATTAGAAATCCAGCTTGAAAGAGCACTCACTGATGGACTGGGTACTAGCAGAAGTAGACGTTAAGCTCAGTAGAAGAATAGGTGATCTAAACTTACAATATTTGATGGGAATGTTAGCTATCATTAGCACAGTATTAGCACCATGCTTCTTTGTAAATACGTCGTAGGGTTCTTTTGACGCTAAAAGGTGCTACGAATAGCAGCCGTTAGTACCCCAAACGCTAAACTTTTTTTACAGTGTAGGTTCTGCAATAACTATTTTTGCTGGCTGTGGGTGTATTTATAAAATTTACATTATATAAAGGCTTCTAAAAGCATTTGACAAGAAACGACAGCACTCTCCATATTTCAATAATTGTTAAATTATTGATCTTCCTCAGAAATGTAATGCCCACCAATACCATACGCGATCCAATATCCCCTGTCTCACACTGCAGAGAAACTATGATTTCGAAGAACTGCCGAGCTATTATATAACCAGATCTTGTATCACAGGTGCGGTTTACAGAACCCTAAATTTATAATTATCCTCACAGCACTGTCATATTAATCATGACAATTGATATTGCTCTTTGAAGAATGTCGCCTGTAGCGTAAAGAAAGAAATAATATAACTGATTCTGTTGCTTCTGGCCTGCAAGTTAATTCTTACCAGACGACTCAAGAACATGATTGTATGGTTGACCGGTTTTGTTAACGATTATTGCAAGGCTTGCAATATTGTGCTGAGGGAAGCTTTTCGTTTTGTGTGTGTGTGTGTGTGTGTGCGGAATGTGGCAGCTCATACTCGAACTTGCGTAGAATGTTTTCACCCTTGTAAAGTCATTCACTTGTGAACTATCTACACTCGTTTTAGTTCGATGCTGTGTCTGACGAGACTTTACTCAACGGTCAGGTGGCGTTAGAGGTTCTCAGCTACCACAACAGCTGTGTCTGACGGGCCTTTCCCCCCGGTCAGGTGGCGTTAGAGGTTCTCAGCTACCACAACAGCTGCACGGACCAGGAGGTAGCCGACTACAAGTCCACCTACAACATGTACCCGTCGCCGGGCCTGAACGAGTGAGTGGCCCCGTTCCCAGCGGCCGCCCGCGCCACCTTTGTTAGGGGCGTGTGGGAACACTCCCCGACACTGTCCCATTCAGTCGGCACACAGCGCCGGCCTGGGTACCCCCCCCCCCTCTCCCTCTCGGCCGCCCCCTGTCTCATCGGTGGGTGTCACAGCGCGCTTTCACGGTCGGGCGGGGCTACCGCAGCCCTCTGACCTTGCTCCATGCGTCGGAAATCCATGGGGTCGGTGTTTAGCTTATAGGCACACTGCCAACTCTGATGACGTCGCAGGAGCTAAAACGCAATCTGCATGGTTCAATGGTAAATATTTATCTTGTGTCTTTCATGGTGTGGTAAATTTTTGATTATGCACATTTTATTGGATGATATCATATTTATTTATGTATTGCCATGGATAAGAATACAGGTCTTACGAACGTCCACGTCAGTCAAAAACTTCGAAAGGTACACCATAGTTGGCCCCACGCTTGCACCGTACGCATATGGCATCTTAAATTATTACTGTACTGTCACGGAACAATTAGGCTGCATCTTTTTGGCGCCCTTCAGTGATGTAGGCATTTCCATATCTATTGTTCAGGGATTGCCAATCGAATCTCAGCCTCGCTACCTAGAATGGGAGCTCAGAGCTGGTTTATACAAGCCACGGGCCTCTCTGCATCTTGGCGCCGCGCTGAGCCGCGTCGCTATTCTAGTCGCAACCAGGACAACGGTTTACTGGAGATGTCAAACATAGCCGACGCCTGGTGAAACAGGCGGCGGCCCGGAGCCGGGCGCCGGCGACCCCTCGGGACCTTCTCCGGAGCGGGCGGCGCCGGCGGCCGACCGGACCCTAATCCCAGCTAATAACCCCGACCCGGGTATCGAGCGGGCCATCCCAGTGGTCCGAGAGGTGGGCGGCGGCCGGGCACGGCCGGGCCGGACATACTCGGACAGGGCAGGGGCGTCCCGGGGCCGCCGGGACACCTGTACTGGCCGTGTCTGAGAAGCCGGAACGGTCGCAGACAGACGTGAGAGTGAGGACTGGAGAGAGATGCCCGGAGCCGTCCAGAGGCGGACTGGCAGACCTTGATGGGTTTCTTTTATTGGACACCGCTTTGCTGAAGATGATCTATGGCACAGCTTAATGAAAAGCTTTGTGTCGATACGATCGGGAGTCAGCGCCTCCCCCATCGGCAAACCAACCCCAAAACGCATTGCTTGCCAGGCTGGACATCACACGTTTTCTCTTTAGCTCCTTTCACGTTTCGCAGCCTTACTTCTGCCATGGTCTATTAAGTGCAGAGTATCGGACATAACGCTATGTAATTACAGTGATGAGACAAGAAATGTTGTCATATTATTCATGCAATCCAAATTATTCGAAACGTTTTCCATGTCATCATCAAGTTGCACCATCGAATGTTAATTACCAGCCCTCCTTCACACCTCACCGCATCCTGACAGTGACACCATGCAGCCGCGACATGCGGCAACCAGGGCAACCGTTGACCTGCAATATTTGTGCATTTGTTTCAGCTACAACTACAACGTGTTCGAGACGTCAGAAAAGGACAAGATCAGGGATGCGGTGTTCATGTTCACTGATCTGTTCGGCACCAGTCGTTTCGACATCGACTGCCTGATCCGGTCAGTGGCGCGAGGCCGGGTCGGCCCAATATGATCTCAACATATCCTACAGTCGGCCCACAGACTGATCAAATTTGTATCGCAGACCGATCCCAACACGCAGACTGCTGCCGAATCTACCTTACCACTTCGGAGCAGCACTGAAAGAACCACCATTAACGCCTCTATATGATCTCTACAACTCCGGTCTGCATTTTAAAACGTTCTTGGTACCGCTGCATTACAAAACGGCACTTCCGCCGTTATTTGGTTCTGTAGTTGCCTTACCAGTCTACCTCGCAGCCCTTCAACTCTGTCCCATTGTGAGGCCAAGTCCGTCTAATTTGGCCATTTGCCCGCGGCCGTGTACGCAGGTTTACCATCACAGTGATGAAAAACTACCGGAGAGTGCCGTACCACAATTGGACGCACGGCTTCGCGGTGGCAAACATGATGTACTGCATCATCAAACACAATCCGAACGTCTTCAAGACTATTGAGGTGAGGGAAATGCCGTCGTGCACTTAACTTGATCGGAACAGGGACTTGAGCAATGACCAATCCTGACCAGAACCAGAAGAATGCCTAGCCACCGCGGCAAAGTGGTATTTTTATTTCGCAACACGAACCCTTTTATAAGTGCATTGCAGTGGTTTCCAGGCTTTCAGTTCCGATCTTGCTAGCCTTCGCAGAGTCGGAAATGGAGGACACCAGGCTAGAAAATTAAGGTTTGAGGTGTGGTGACATTTTAATGCTTAATTTTTTTTTACATTCATGAGACCTAGCAGTGTCAAGTCAAGGTCTGCTGCAGCCAGTTAATTCTGCAATAGCATGCATGGCGATAGGTTCACAGCTCCCGACTGGCGGTGGCCCGTAACTTTGATATAGAGTTGTTCGAACAGTCACGTCTACTCGAGGGAAGTTACGCCGCCCCAACGCCCCAATCTGTGCGATAAATCGTGAAGTTGGTATCACAGGAAGCAAAGTTCTCTCCCAGTGTCGAAAGCCTGGCGATTTATCGCAGGTTGTGGGCGGCGCGTCTGAGCCCCGTGACCGTCTGGGTGGCCAGTTTTATTGTCCATTGTCCAGCCGGAAGTGAGGCGCAGTCTGTGCTCGGTGACCTGTCTACACCTACTTAGCATGGGTGTAGTGTGGTGTCTAGCCAGGCACAGTCTGTGCTCGGTGACCTGTCTACACTTACCATGGGTGTAGCGTGGTATCTAGCCAGGCACAGTCTGTGCTTGGTGACCTGTCTGCTTCTAGTCTACGTCTAGCCTGGAGTGTAGTATGTTCTGTCCGCTGTGCTTTATCTGTCGTCTGATTAACCCGTCGCTGTCTCGTGCTATGCTATCCACAGAGCCTAGCTCTGTTCGTGGGGTCGCTGTGCCACGATCTGGATCATCGGGGACGCAACAACAAGTTCATGCTGGAGACGGACTCTGCCATCGCGGCAATATACAGCACGTCCACCATGGAGCACCACCACTTCAATCAGACCGTCACTATCCTGCAGCAGGTCTGTAAGACACCGAGAGATTCTACCTAAAACTCCGCCTAAAATCCATACGTCACGGTATAACCCGGTAGACAAGGATTCCGGTGTGGGGTGGGCAGAGACACCGGGGATGGATAAGGCCTTCCCGGTGGGGGCAACAAGGAACAGTGTGAAATAGGTTCCTGTGGAGGGGCTGCAATCAGCCACCAAGGCATAAACATGGTGTAGAACAGCATCAAGGGGAGAGACAGATTGTTTGTGATCAGGGCTTTTATTCATAAAAATCATCTTTATCCAGAAGAGGAATCCGTCTGTGATGGGTTTGTTATGATTCGTGGTCGTGCCTGCTTGTACCCCATGCGTTCTCCGTATTCTGCAGGATGGCCACAACATCCTGGGCAAGCTGTCCAGCTCCGAGTACAAGCAGGCTCTCAGCAACATCAAGCACTGCATTCTGGCCACCGACCTGGCGCTGTTCTTCCCCAACAAGGCAAAGCTGGCCAGCATTCTCAAGGAGGGTCTGTTCGACTGGGGCAACTCCGAGCACAGGTGAGGCGCTGATAAAGTGGGCAGGGTCCGCAGTCAGAACGCTTCCTCACATACGGGTGATGGGTACAACCAAACGGTGTTGAGAACTCACGTGTCCAAAATGTAAAATGGGGATGCATCGTTTCCCATGGAACTTCCATGCAGATCATGAGACGAGACGTCAGTTATCCAGACCGTTTGAAATTTGAATGGCTGATAGAATTGGAGGCTGTCCAATGGCCGAGCAATGAAGGACCTCCCACCCTTGATCCGTGACCATCCTATTTGATAGATATGCCAGTGGAACTAACACCATTGTGTGATTCTGGCCCAGCCGAGTTGAAAGATAGGCAGCATTGATTGCCGGGAACACTTTATAGCATCGGCTGTGCTCAATGTGTGCTAAGAATAGCGTAGCGAGGAGTTCAGTTGATAAGGCTTAACAAGTTTGTTTCTGAATTCATTATTTTAAATGAACTCGAAGAAAACTGAGACTGAAGAGTCATGTCTTAATAGTTAATACCCAGGTAAATGCTTATTTGAAATTGTTTTAACGGACTTTCACTGGGTAGTGGGTATAATAACTTTTACCCACTACCCAGTGAAAGTCCGTTAAAACAATTTCAAAGAAGAAAACTGGTTTGAATGTATATATACCCATGGTGACCCCCAAAACAAAACGATTTGCATTAGGAAGTTAGCTGAAACTTGATTCGATAGTAATGTAGCTTTCGCTCATCATCGGCATTTAAATGGTCTGTTTGATCTATGAAAACTTCCTATGCTTTGTAAGTACGAGTTGATTTATCGCAAAAAGACGTTATGATAAAACCTGGGCATTTCGAGTGCTAACTGCTAACTATTCAGTTGTTCACAATGTTTACCGGCTATAATATTCACGATAGCAAAGTGAGGTGGCAGACGCTGTGGGAGTGTCTGCTGTCCCACCCGCAGAGTTTTGATGGCCGACTGCTCTGAACTCGCCCCCAATCGGCCGGCTTCAGAGCCATCGTCATCAGCATCGACCACCGTAATCATCCGCCTATATTGGCACAGCCTGATCACAGCGACAGCAAATAAGCCATCAAACACAGGCGCGGGCCGGCCCTCTGCGGGGAGGCGCTGTTTTATCTGTAAACACATCAACGCCGCGGCGATGGAGCAAAAACACACACGCACGCACACACAGGCGGTGATTGTAATTTTTGTGATCAAGCTACAGCATACATTTTGCATTCATATTTTAAACCATATCTTTGGACACTTTTAGAATGACGATGGAGTTGTCACGATTGCTCAATTATGTTTTAGTGATGCTTCATTTAGTTAAGCGTTGAAGAACGTATTTCATCATTGACCTCAATCGGTAGCGGAACCTGCATGTCATGTTACTCCCACTAAGACCATTGACAGAATTAGAGCCATTTACGGGAACCCTTCCATTTCGCAGGCTGCTGCTGCAGGCGATCTCCATGACGGCCTGTGACCTGTGCGCCAGCTCAAAGCCGTGGAAAATCCAAATACAGACGGTGGCCGACATATTCGAGGAGTTCTACGAACAGGTAATGACCGAGGGACTCTCAGATCAGATGACACTCTAATCTGAGAGCCTGGACCTGGGTCAACACACTCTGGGTCAGTGTGCATTTGGAGACTCCAGATATTGATACCAAATGTGACACCTGATACTGCGCGATGCCGCTGACATGACCGTTTAAAAGGAAGACTGCCACCTTCAAAAAGTTTTCTCAGATCGGCCTATGATTTATTCCCTGGCCAAAACAAAATTTTAGAATTCACCTGACAAAGTATCATCACGTGAATCGCGAAAAAAATTGTCGATTATCATACAATTATCAATCGGTTAATGTCTAGCGACAATGTTTACACATCACTAGACTTCAAGGTCATAAGATTATTACATTTTATTTGAAAAAGTAAGGTATTTTATGATTTACTAATATATGATTTCATAAGAAATTGGCCATGTTTAATTTATTTTGCATTTTTAAGTTCGTAAAACATTTAAAAATCATGGCTCATTTGGAATGGGTCTGGCCCATGTTAAACCCCATTTCCCACACTTTTTTGGAAAAAATGAACTACTGAATATGTAAGTTTAACTTTTATTTTGACACTCCAAAATTCTTCTCTGATCTCGAAACAATCAAAGTTTTGACATATATTTACCAAAAGATAAGAAAATTCATGTTTCAAAGTTATCGATAAACAGTAGAGATGTCGGTTTTCTTGGACTAAAAAAATGGCATCAAACTGAACTTTGGTCTCCGATTTCTCGCAAACGGGTTCGAATTTCGGAAAACCGACTTCAGTCTGGGACATAGGTGGCTCAGCTCTAGTGAAAACCGTTTTGTGGAAAAAAGGTGGCAGTCTACCTTTAACGAGATACCGGCCGGTCATGCCCGGAGGCGGTCTAAAAAAAAACTAAAATATGGAACATCGGTCGATCACCATACACATGCACAATATAAATTTCAGATGCATGCAATGCAAGCAACTACAAACGTACAACATTTACGGACTCAGTTGACGAAAATTATTCACATTTGCATAGCCCATTCCAAAGTCAAAAGCTTTTCACTTCAACATATTTCATAACTGACCAAGCTATGACTTGATCCGAGCCACAACCCTACGACTCCCGGTTGGTGACCACCTGTCACGGGTTAACATCTTAACCGACGATAACCGACCTAACACCCCCGGTGGTGACCTGACCCCGGTGACTACCTCACGCCCCGGTGGTGACCTGAGCTCGGCGGCCGTCTGGCCGTGCTGACCGTCTCTCTCCGCCCCGGTGTCGTTTCTCACGCGGTGCTGACCCTAGGGTGATAACGAGCGGGCGCTGGGCCGCGAGCCGCTGCCGATGATGGACCGGCTGCAATCGGAAAACCAGCCGCACACGCAGGTGGGTCAGCCGCCGCGCCGCGCGCTCCGCCGCCGGCCGCCGCTCTGAGTGTCGCTCTGTGCTCTCGGCGGTGTTGCAGGGTGACGCCGAAAAGCAGGCGGGCCGCATCCCGCTGCAGCTGATGGACCGCTCCCAGCATGACCAGCAGGCGCACTCGCAGGTACACTGACTGTCGCCGACCGACCGACTGACCCCGGCGCCTCAGCAGCTTCTCACCACCTGTGCTCCACTCAGTCCGAGAGCCACTGACTCACTGTGACGTCTTACGCTCCTCCTAACCTCCACTGCGCCGCCATTTTAGCAGTTGATTGCATTTTTATGGCAGTTTCTTCTAGCTTCTTGGAGCAAGCATTGGCGCACGTTTTGAACTTGGGTTTCCGATGCATATGAGATTGACGCAGCGGGAATTATGTAGAAGGTACATTGGGCGTGTCGTGTAGACCAGCACACTCGTGTACATGCACCGTAGTTCCAGTACTCTAACACTGCAGTACTAGGAGGCACGCTGCACTATTTCCATGTTGAGAAATGGGGGGAGCATTCTTTTGAAAACAGAAAAACGGGCTTGGAAGACCCTTTGGGCATAAGAAACATTTTTTGGAGCATTACGTTCCTCTTCTTTGCAGCTTTTACACATTGTAATGACAATTGCAACGAAACGTTGGTTACGGAGCGAGCGAAGCGAGCGGAGTCTTACGTAGAATAACGGAAATTTCTGAGTATGAGCGGCCGGCCGGCCGGCCGGCCGGCCGGCCGGCCGGCCGTGCGGACGCTTTTGCGAGGCTTATATCTCAGCAACCACTTGACCGATTTACATGCGGTAATTTTTGTAGGGTAGCTTCATTCCTTCTACCAAGTATTGGACTATTCCCGATGCATGTGGGTGACCCCTTATGCACGTGCCACGTGCAAAACGAAGAGGTGTCAGTTTTGTAATTGTTGCAATATCTCGGTAACTACTTGGCCGATTGCGCTGAAAGTTGGCATGTAGGTAGGCACCCACTAGGCACTGCATGTCCATGTGCCAGAGTTGGGGTGCCGCTGCACGTGCGCACGTGCAGGGGTCGTTTCCAGATCTCGAGAACGGCTCGACCGATTGCGCTCAAATTTGGTACACAGTTAGGGACCGGTTACTAGGGTGCCGTGCACAAGTCAGTTGGGACCCATTTTGCACGTGCGCACGTGCAGGGTGCCGCTTCCAGATCTCGAGAACGGCTGGGCCGATTGTGCCCAAATTTGGCACATCGCTAGAGACCAGTCAGTAGGGTGCCGTGCACAAGTCAGTTGGAGGTACCCCCTCGAAATTTCGCACGTGCAAGACTCACCCCCTCGCTCGCTCCGTTAGTCGCCCCAAAAGGCGCTATACTGGTAATATATCGGTTTATGTTGCGCTGGCAAATTTCGCACAGCTGAAGTTGCGCCCTAAAAACACACTGGGGTCACATTTTCTATCTACACTCCACCCCCATGCCCGTAAATGCATGACGCTCGACGTTCGACAGAAAAATTCACTCACTCGGTTCTTTGACGGGTTTGGTACTTTTTAAAATAAATAATTTACATATAAAAGTATTTTTATATCACATAAAATGCATAACAATACATACCTAAAATACATTCTTAAATACTTAATAAAAATGTACCTATGGAATCGGTAAAAACATAATTCAATCGAAAAAAACAGCCGTTTCGCTGTTGGAAACGACAAATACGCTGTGTGTGAACATGGAATAAGGCTAGGATGGTTAACTGGTTACCTATGGGTTAGTCAGCTAGGTATCCCACATAGAAAGGGAAGCAAAACTAGAATCGGCGTAACATTCTATGTCTATCGTCTACCCTGCATTGGGCAGAACGCCTGCGCTTGCTTTCAAATCCAGCTAAAGCGCTTACTTGGGCGACAACAAACACATGCTAAATATCTCTGCGGGCTACGGCATGCTAACAGTTACGTCCAGTGAATGTTTTGCAAATGAAATAGGCTGCTGTTTTGAAGTCGTTCAATTCATTCAAGCATGAAGTTAACATAATTGAGAGGGCTAGCAAAACTTTAAAACGTTATGCGGAATAAACCTTCATTGAAATTACAAATAATTCAGTTTTTTACCTCTCTCCCTAAACGTTATACTTCCCAAACGAGGAGTAACGGTGATTCGCCAGCCTCTCTAGCTCCCGCTAGATCACAACAAGCGCATCTTTTCTGCCAACCACTTATCGGACAGAGAGCAAGTCAAAGAGGAACGACCTTCCAGGACCCTGGAAACGTATCCACCCACCACCCAAATAGACCCATGTCCATGATCCAAAGTCATACCGTTTCCCAAAACCGTCTATTCCCATCCCCCAAACAATCTGTTTAAATCCCCCAAACCATGGGTATCCGTTCTCTGATCCGTCTATATCCCTTTCCCCGTCTGCTGTCCTGCCCCCAACCCGTCTGTAGTCTCCCCCGGCCTCCCCCTCCCCTCCCCCACACACAGTCTGTATATCCACTCCCCACAATCCGTCTGTATCCGTTCCCCAATCCGTCTGTATCCGTTCCCCAACCCGTCTGTATCCGTTCCCCAGCCCGTCTGTATCAGTTCCCCAGCCCGTCTGTATCCGTTTCCCCCGGCCCCATCCGTCTGTATCCGTGGTCCCTCGGCGGTGCCGGGCAGTGTACCTAAATGGCCTGTTTCCGCTCTGCTTGGCTCTGGCTCGCCTGCCCCCCAGTGACCTATGCATGACCTGACGCTGGGGCTTCAGCTAAGCTGCGCTATGAGCCGTGCTTTAGCTGTCTGCTGACAATTGGCTGTGAAACCGGCTTTATGTCCGAGTCAACGGCTGAATGCGCCTCTGTATTGCTTTCCACTTCACTATCAGAGCGCAATGTGCCAATGAGAAGGCTTATGCAACTGCATGCCGCAGCGTACTAACATGTAGCGTATTTGTAGGTTAGTTTCGATGCATTTAAATTGTGTCATTAGTCCGCGGTATACACTCTAAACGCATTGGTGGTTGCTTCGTCCATCGCTTATCGCATTGCCCCATTCTAAATGCAGTTCAATTACTCACATAATAATTTCATTTGTTAGAGCGGCTGCCTTAGGAAACGTTGCTATTGGTGTCTCCCAAAGCTTCACGCAAAGGGCAGAGCTCCTACGAATCACGACTGTATTCGTTCCATAATGAACATTCAACTGGTATCCATAAGATATATGCAGCAATCTGACCGCGACAATATCCCTAAGGAAAGTTAAAACGTAGTTTCCCGGGCTCCGGTGGCCCAGATCTAAAACGGTTAAGACGTGACCCCGACCCGATCAGATCTCGCCCGGCCGTGGCGGTGTCTGACGGCCGTGTACCCGCCCGCTGCTCCCAGGTCGGCTTCCTGACGGGCATCTGCATCCCGTGCTACGACCTGCTCTACCAGCTGATCCCCGAGACACAGCTGCTGGTGGCCGGCTGCCGCAACAACCTGGCGCGCTGGATGGACATGGCCGAGGCCGGCGGCTGGCAGGAGGAGCTCAGCGCCGTCAACGCGCACGGCCGGTCTCGGCAGCCGGCGCTGACCTCGCCCGACCGGCCGGCCACCGGCCAGCCGCCGTCCGAGGAACAGGAGGGAGGACAGGAGGAGGAACGGGAGGACGGAGGACAGACGGAGGAGCAGCCGCCAGAGGAGCAGACACCGGAGGAGCAGTCGCCGGAGGAGCAGCCGCCCGACGACGCCAGCTAGAAGGCCGAGTTGGCCGGCTCTGGCGGAGCAGAGGACCGGCAACGCGCGTCTATCCCCCTCCAGAGGCGGGCGGGGCCCTCAGCCCACACTCAGACCCCTCTCCAGGGGCGGGCGGAACCCTTAGTCCACACTCAGGCACTCGACTGTGCCGCAGTGCCCGATCGGTGTGGTCAGTCTCACACAGAGACGAAAAACATTCGCGATGGTGTTGCAAGTATGTAGATAGTGACGTCTGGTCTGTCCTTGCGCCGCCGTACCTCTGTCGGATCGATCCTAACGCGAGCTACCACGGCCCCATGTTCCTGTACCCGTCCCAGGAGCGGCAGCCCATTGACAAGGCTGAACGGATCAGCTACCGAGCAGGCCGCTGCGCTCGACTCGGCCCGAGCTCGGACTCGAAGTAAGTCACTCGCACACCACTGTACCCGCACCGGCGTGTCCCTCACGCGCACGGGTGTCCGCTCTGTTTTCGCGCACGGACGACTGTTGTACATTTAGACGGAGAGCCCGGCCGTGCTGGTCGCTCCACGCCTCCCTGCGGCCCGGTCCCATTGGCACGGCACGGATAGCGACTCGGCTCACTGGGAATGATGGCAGACGGAGCCCGATGGGTCCAGTCTGCCCCCAGTTCAGAGAGTTGACCGACCGTGCCGTGCCGCGCTGGACCGGGCCGCCATGGTAGCGTAGAGCTCTGGCCGACACCGGGTGCCGTCCTCCCACGGCTCGACAAGGCCGCTCCCGCCCGGTGGCCGGTGTCAGAGCGCAAATACGCCCGTGGAGAATGTGCGTGGGAGCGGCCGTGTATGTCTGTACAGATGCCAACCTGCCACACCGCGATGTCCCAGCCGCCCGTTGTCATGGCAACAGGGGAAACAAAGCGAACCGCTGGGGCGTGGCACCACCCTGAGAGAAAGGTCAGCACGGATATATAGCTATTCATATGTATGTGTGCGAGAGGATAATACAATAAATAAGTGGAAGGCTCGTCTGTTCAGGGCATTTAATCATCAATGCATTGTATGCATCTGGATGAGGGCTCCAGTTTTCACGCCGTTACGGGGATACGTGAACATTACGAATGTGCACCCGACTGTCTTTATCCCCTGGCCACGTAGCGAGAAGCGACAGTCGGCGCTAGAGAGTTCATCAAAAGTTATTCCGGAAGTGTTTCAGCCATTTTGTTCGGTCAAAGGTCACCTCGTCGGAGGTCAATGGTCATTAAAAGTTGAAACTTCCCACCCTGACCCTTGTAAGTTGAAATTGGTCTCGCAACTCCTTTCACTAGATTAGCAAAGTAATAACATCGTGGAGTAGGGGAGAGTGGGGCAATGGCGACACCATAAGCATTTTGCTCAATAGCTTAGCTATTTGAAGCTATTTTATGGTGATTTTGACTGTGGTTATAGCCAAAGGAATAGGCTTTCAGATAGCACCCAGTTTTAGTATCTCAGATCACTGATAACAGATTCAGAGCCTACGCAAAAATGTGGTGAAAAATGGAGGTGCAAAAAAGCGAGGGGTAATGCCGGCCACTAAGTGCAATAGCACAAAAGTCGAAATATTGTCACTGGTATTCATCCTTAAACCGTTCTTTCGATGGAAATTTAAGTGAGAATTAAGAAACGACAACTGTATTCAGCAGTTAACAGTACACTGCACTGCAACACAACACTGCACTCGCTGCAACACAACAGCGCGGCGCCAACAGAGCAGCAAACTAACACAACCGTAAACACAGCAAGCAAACTAATACAGCCGTAAACACAGCAACCCGAAACGTTGAGCTTTAACGACAGAAGTCGCAAACAAAATCGCGTTGAGTCATTCCGGACACGTGTCCGGTATTACCCCGAGGTCAGCTTTATTTTAAGAAAGCAGGCAGCAGTCAAAGGCATTGCGCCGCAAACGCCTCACATCCAGCAGTCGCCTAAGAAAGGCTTATTTGAAGGTCATTGCAAAGCAGCACTTCTGAAAATGCGTTAACACATTTCACAGTCAGCAAATAGATGCAACAAAAATTAAAAATCAGATACGAAAAACACATTTGACGCTATAAAAATTAAAATAATGGAGCTACCGTGACAAACTTGCACCACGTGCTAGAATGGCGCTCAACTGAAATGTAAACAACATCAGCTGATTAGTGATGGGCAAAGTACTCACTAGAGATGGGTGGCCGGCATTACCCACCGTCCGCCATTGCCCCACTCTCCCCTATGTGTTAGGTACCCCTTGTTGTATATGTAATTACTGACTGTGTCGCATTTTGATCACAAATCCTTAGGTCAAGGTCATGACCAACCTTACTGGCTCAATTTTGCACATTAGCCAATTTGTTTGTCGAGTTCAACAGTTTTACACCTTTCGAGTACCGGCTAAACTGTAATATGCATCAATTAAAAGATGTCAAAAAAACTTTAACGGCCTCTGATGACATTGCAATGAGAACCTCGCTTCGTTTCGAGAGTGGAGGCGTGGTGACTTCACGACCATGTGAGGTCATCGTGGTTAATTTGCGCAACATACTCTCACCGTACGTCTGTATTTACTGAGAGCGTAACTGAATGGCGGGCCCACGATGGTAGACGCAGACGAAAGTCCTTCAAAGCTTTGGGTGATCATTCAGCACAACAAAAATAAATAAGACTGAAATATCGAAACATTGCGGACGGTGTTATACATATGGTGTGAGGCCTATGCCTAAATGTAGATGACGTTACCAGACGGTCATGGCAAACATTCTCATCATGTTGAACTGAGGATACGCCACGCGAATAGGGATAGCAATACCGAATCGCTAGCACATCCTTTTGTAGTGATTTAATTTTATGTGCAACTTTTTCATAAAGGTTTCAAATCCACACTCATTCTTTTCATATATTGCATTTGCATTTGTATTTACATATTGCCTTTGACGCGAGAATGAAACACAACGTAACAAATATAAGCAACATCGGTGTTCTAAAAATGTGTAGGTACAGGGCTCGCGGGTTTTAGCGGTAGGTTTTGCACCTAGAAAATTTAGTGTACTTCAGGCTATATCTTCGTCGTCTTAAGCTTTTAAGTGTTAAAGATGCGATCGACTTGTTGGGTAACAAGCCGGCCATGATCGTGTAAAATGGCTTCATCGTAGATCGATTAGTTTCTGAGATATAACCGGAAATGTAAAAGTGCAAAACCTACCGCTTAATCTCGCGAGACCTGTACACGGCGCAACAGCCGAAATATCACAATCAATGTGTTCATTAGACGTTTTTACGGAGCGAGCGAAGCGAGCGGAGTCTTTCCTTAGATTAACGGAAATTTCTGAGTATGAGCGGCCGGCCGGCCGGCCGGCCGGCCGGCCGTGCGGACGCTTTTGCGAGGCTTATATCTCAGCAACCACTTGACCGATTTACACGCGGTAATTTTTGTAGGGTAGCTTCATTCCTTCTACCAAGTATTGGACTATTCCCGATGCATGTGGGTGACCCCTTATGCACGTGCCACGTGCAAAACGAAGAGGTGTCAGTTTTGTAATTGTTGCAATATCTCGGTAACTACTTGGCCGATTTCGCTGAAAGTTGGCATGTAGGTAGGCACCCACTAGGCACTGCATATCCATGTGCCAGAGTTGGGGTGCTGCTGCACGTGCGCACGTGCAGGGGTCGTTTCCAGATCTCGAGAACGGCTGGACCGATGGCGCTCAAATTTGGCACACGGTTAGGGACCAGTTAGTAGGGTGCCGTGCATAAGTCAGTTGGGACCCATTTTGCACGTGCGCACGTGCAGGGTGCCGCTTTCAGATCTCGAGAATGGCTGGGCCGATTGTGCCCAAATTTGGCCCATCGCTAGTGACCGGTTAGTAGGGTGCCGTGCACAAGTCAGTTGGAGGTACCCATCGAAATTTCGCACGTGCAAGGCCCACCCTCTCGCTCGCTCCGTTACTCGCCCCAAAAGGCGTTATACTGGTAACATACGGTTCCTACGTAGGTACTCTGAACATAATGCTTATTAATAGTCGTGAAACAGATTGATTCATAAAAAACATACCACAGGACATGTAATGCGTAAAGAAAGAGTATAACTAAGATATCAATAAAATAGGGAATGAGCGAATATATCGTATACATGACTTTCTTATAAAACGGCCCTTTGCACCTTTCAAAATGGCAATGCTCGTTTCTCTAGTTGAACACATAAATGAGGTCTTCCACTTTCCACGACATATCTAACCCTACAGTAATGTCCGGACTCCCGAGGTATCATGATTCAGGGCGACGCCCGGCGAGCCGGTTTTAAAGTGGTGGTCCCTGGCAGCGGATTTAGACTATTATCTGGTTGGTCCCGTACGATCAGTGGGACCCCTGGTGTAAACCTCAGCTCGATAGGACGCTGGACTGATGTGAGACCGAGCTCGTCCCTATAAAGTAGCGGACCTGGCGTGGGTTCGGGCTCTTCCCTATCAGCGGACACTTGACACTTAGCGCACATTTGGCGGGTGGGCCCCAGCTCGTCCAAAGCAGTGGGAACCAAGGCCGTATAAGAGGTGGGGTTACCGACCAGCAGTGGACCGGAGCTCTTCCAGCCAGCGGAGGCCGACCTTGTGTGAGCCCGAGTTCGTTCTTAGCAGCGGAGGCAGATCTCCTGAGGGCCCGGGCTCGTCTCTAGCAGCGGAGGCTAACCCGCTGTGTGCCCGAGCTCGTCCCAAGCAGCGGAGGCTGACCAGCAGAGGACCCAATCACTCCCCCCCCCCCCCCCCATCAGCAGACGCTGACCTGGTGTGAGCCCGAGCTCGTCCCTAGCAGCGGACGCCCGCCAGCTCCCGCCGCGGTTCCCTGGGCTCGGCGTGGGCCACGAGGCTGTAGACGAGGGTGACACATCGCGCTGCCGAGGATCGCAGCTTGACGAACAGCAGACAGCGGTCCACCACCACGGCCACTTGCGACAGACCTGGGGGCGAGGTGAACGGTCAGTCACAACATATGAACACGATGGAGGGCCAGTAATCACGTGTGGATGCCAGCTGAACAGAGGTCGGTCAGAATCCGAGAAGAATTGATTGAAGCAATCCGTAATAACTTGTTCATGAGGTTCCCACCGCCACATCTTAGTTGTTGCTGCGGTGTCCACTGTCCAGGTCCCAGGAGCCGAACTAAAAGGGACGCAAAAACTAGCCCGGCACCAGCAGCTGCCAGCTAGTGCCTTCCATCCATACGTCTGATAAACGGGATACTGCTGTGGCATCTCACCTGCTCCGTTGAGCGGCATGCTGTAGTGCAGTGGAGTGTCCGAGGAGAGCGTCCACGTGCGCCGGTCATAGAGCAGCAGCCGCTGCAGCACCGCCACGTCTCCGATCACCTCCTGGGGTACAGACAATTGCTTGTTAACTGGGGCATAGCACGTCGACTTCTACAGTCTATAATGAGCCATTTAGTGCACAGACGAGAACTCAAACCGAACTGACGGATGGCACGGGGGAACGGACACTGCGAGGTGTTTGGAAAAAGCGGTACGAGGCTGTAACCAAGATTTCTTAGTAGAGGCAGCACTGTGAAGATATTAATGTGTCACGCTCTAGCAAACCGAGAACCAGGATTCTTTAGAAAACGCGCGAAAGCGGAGATCCCAGACTCCACTCTAAAAGCAATTAACGTGAGCTAAATGCAATAAAGGAAATATGAGGTGCAGCCTGACATTAAATATCCCTTCATAAGGAAGCGCAGAGGACGCATAAGGCGGACGATTAGACGGAGCCGACATTTGACGTAATTTGTTGCCCAATGAGCGGAAGGTAATGTTCTGCCTAATCGCCGCGCCGGCGGGATAAAAACGCAGCAGATACGACAGTTGCCGCAGAGTCGCTAATGAGGGCGGCTTATTGCTTGGAGAAAGAGACAGAAAAAGACGGCAGAGGAAGGGAGAGGGGAGGAGGAAGAGAGAAGGAAGGGAGGGAGGGAGGGAGGGAGGGAGGGAGGGAGGGAGGGAAGGAAGGAGGGTGAGAGAAGAGGAGAGACAAGGTGATAACTTAACCATGGACTGAAGCTTCTTGACTGATCACTGGACTGACCCGATCCGCTAGATCCCTGCCCCAGCACATCCCTCCGTTCCGTCTCCATGTGCAGTGCCGCCCCTCGTGCTTACCTCTACCACGACCACGACGAGCAGCTCGAGCTCGTCCTCGATATCCCAGGCGAGCCACCAGTCGGAGGCGAGGAGGACCAGGGGAGCCGACCGCCGCATCCGCACCCGGCGGCCTGAAAACCCCAGCGGGTGAACACGCAGTGAGCGGGACTGTCTCCCCACTCGGCGCCTACAGCCAGTTCGTCACATCACAGGGGCACCCAGCGTCAACTCACACCGGTTGGAGGAGCTGTATGACCAGGAGACGTGCCCTGCAGCCGATCAATCATAACCAATGTGAGTGTATTTTTGATTCCATCGATTTATGCATGGGAGCCTGGCAAATGTAGCTCCCACCAACACCGGCGCGGCCACGGTGGCGGCCTGTTTATGTGACTCAGCAGCTGCGCGTCCCGTGCCAGAAGACTCGCATTTGGCGCTCGCTGGTGTAACGCTAACAAAGGCGCATTGTTTGTAAACAGCTGACGAAGTCGCAGGTTGCCACCTCAAACGTACCGAGATAACATTGTTCATGGCAAAATGATATTTTGACATTAATTTGATTTCAACAGAAATATTTTCGTAGACATTCTCCATAAAAACTACACATGAAAAAGTGGATGCTTCCTCTTACAGCCAACTGGCTTAGTTAGAGCATTGAAAACGCGGCAATTACCAATCGCAAGTTTGGGCGGGATGCTGTATTGTCATATAGGTAGGTTGTAAATCTCCTCTGTACTTAAGTAGTTGTACCTCTGTACGGTAAGATCAAGATTGTATGCGGTTTGATTGGCATTTTTACCAGTACCGCTACCGAAAAAGAGGAGCATAAAGGCCTATCTCTTATAAAAAGCCAGCTCACACCCGTCCCGTCATTACCGTCCTCAGGACAGTCAAATCCTTCTCCACGCCGCAATTCCTGACCCCGGCTGGACTGGCAACTTAATCCCATACGGGCGGCTCCCATTGGAGCGCACCGCAGCTCCTAAGGGAGCACACCAGTAGCCGGATGCAGAGAGTGTTTGGGGTGGGGGGCTGGGCGGCCTGGCCAACTGGACGGGCTCAGCGCCGGCGACTAACTAGGGTGCCTGCCCCGACCAATGTCTCCCGCTAATTCCTATGTCTTCCCGATCCTGCAATGGTCTCAATGGACCAAAAGGGCCTTAACCAACAAAATAATAATCATCATCATGATAATAAGGAATAAGTAGCCTGCTGCCATCGCCGCGAATCAGGAATCACCGAACGGTCAAGCTTCCCTAACAGAACACGTGGCGCCCTCTCAGACACCTGAGCGCCACCTGCGCCCTGACCTCGCCAGCGTGCGAGAGGTCCGCTCTGGACGAGATGACCGCTCCCCTAACCACCTCTCCTCTTTGTGAGGCGTCTTCGATGCTGAGCGATTACTTCCCTATCAGCTCTTCTGTGCTCATGAACTATCTTTTGAATAATGATCGCTTCACACTATCCTCAGGTGAGTCGAGCTTTTAGTACGGGCGGACAGGTTTTGTGCGGAACTGATCGTACAGTAGCCAGCCGGGACTCACACCTGCCAGGTGTGTTTGCCCCCGGGCAGCGTGACCTCACCTGACCGGGTGGTGACGGGCCCACGCTCCACCGGCGGTTCAGGGACGGAGAGACGGCCGGCGTCCACCCGCAGCACCTCGTGGCCGCAGGTCAGGTCAAACACCCTGTTCAAAGAAAGATCAGGACAGCGAGGTCAGGTCAAACACCCTGTGAATGAAAGGGACAGGGAGGCCAGGTCAAACACCCTGTGAGGGGACAGGACGGGGAGGTCAGGTCTAACACCCGGTGAATGAAAGGGACAGGGCAGAGGGTCAGGTCAAACGCCTGAGAATGGCCCGGTTAGGACAGGAAAAGTATCAGTGCTGATCGTGCGACGTTAGTATGAAATGAAATGTTATGAAAGTTATGAAAGATCTATAAAAAACGACAAAGGTAAGCTCCTTTCTACCCGTGGTCTGATGAGCTCGGTGATGGAGGCACTTCAGTAGCCACCTCTCAGCTCTCACTATCTCACCAAGTGATCTGTCTGTCATCTTACCTGAGCTCAGCAGTGCTGTGCTGTACGAGGTACGGGCCGTCGTCGACAAACGTGGCCGCCTCTGATGACAGCCCTGGCCGGAGTGGGCCGCACGTCAGCACCCGAGCCCCGTCCGAGAGACGAGTCACCTGCGGGCACGCGGACGGACCGGGGCGGATCACCAGTCTGCAGAGTAGACCCATGCCAGCGACAGTGGAAACACACACTTCTCGGATAGGGTGCAAGATAGAGCACAAAGAATTTCGATGAGGCAATGATCGGTTCGTTCGCCTCTAGGACAAGTTCCACGTCTCAGTGGCAGTTCCTTTGTTCAGGCAACTCGTTAGAGTTATTTGCTAACGAGACGCGGAACTTGCCATCGAGGACAAGAAACCTAGCAGTGACACATAGCCTGCTGCTGGCTGCTGGGACAAAGAATGGCTATTACGTTACGTAACTTCTCCGACTCCGCGACCACCCCATCGCAGGCGATCCGGCCGGCTCAGTACGGACCTCGAAGCCATCGGCTGCCTTTCGGCGACTGACGAGGTGGTAGGGGGAGCCGCCCAGCTCCAGATAGCCCTGGTGTGCGGTGAACACGGCCACGGGCGCGGCGTCGCCCGTCAGCTGACCGTTGGTCGGTACACCGTCCCCCGTACCGCCGACAACCAGCGGTCGGCCGTCCGCGATCACGTGATCCCCCAAACCGGCTGCCGGACTGCGCTCCTGTCACAAACACACATTGGAAATTACCGCGGTCAACATCCCAGCACCGTTATATACACACAGACAACCGGGCTAAACGGACATTATGCCGAGTAGACATTACCCAGTCAACAGTAGAGCGAATAGCAACACCGACTACAAAACTGACGAAAGTCTGATGATAACAAGACCTTATATAATGGCAAATCGGCATAGGTCCGGCTCACGCTATCTGGTAATAAGGAGTTAAATATAGAGCCCGCTTCATCATTCCACTGTCTGCTCAGCAAGTGATCACTGACCACTGAGCAGCTGCAATGGTCGTGATCCATCGACCCTTTACGGAGGAGCTCACCACCAAAATCTTGTCGATGCTGTACAGGTAGACGACTCCTCGCGATCGTGAGGTGAGCATAACCACGCCCTCGCCGACTGTGGCGGAGTCGGCATGCGGAAACTCCTTCCGTAATACCTGCCACCAAGAACAAAGCCAAAACAGCGGAACACAGGTCAAGGGATAATCATGTAATTGTGTAGTGCGTACGGAAGGTCGTATTTAGATTGGCTTTCAATCAATGATCTGGAGAGTGTAGGTATAGCTTACGAGCATTCTAATCGGATATATTAAGACCATTAAACTAGTTTTTTACAAAATATTTAAATAAACACTCGGTATTCTGAAGGGTGTCATCACTGAAGTGTGACGTGACAATCTAGAAGGGTTCACTCCGAGATCGGTGACGGTACGGCGCAGGATCATCGGACCACTGACCGCTCTCACCTGAAATCGGACCAGAAACTGGACCGGCTGGATGCTGAAGATGATGACGGACACCAGCGCCTCCACCGTCTGTACGGACGTGATCACCAGTCTGCCGGAGACGAGGGCGTCAGACATCGGACAGTTACTCCCGCACAGTGCATCATTGTCAGTAAACGTCCGAATAACGTCAGACTAGCTACGTCGACTGGCGTCTGACCAACGTCCGGTAACATCTGCAAATATTCGGCCAAGAGCTACCGTCTATCCAGCATTCAGTCAAAGTCTGCTGAATGAACACACAACGTCCGTTAAATCCGTCAGTCCGACATTCCCCTTCGGTAACTGTCGGGGCTGCCGCCTGTTCAAAATCAGATCAGGGCCTCTTCAATTTTCGTAGGCTCCGCTCACATCGGGTTAGTGGCAGGCTATGACAGAAGTCAGGGCGGATAACGGAAACCGCAAATTTAGCACCAGCACATAATTTACGCACGTGACAGAAACATGACTTCAACACGGTCTTTTCATCCCTCATCCGAAAACGATACTGGATTTTCACCTTTAAACCCCGTCTCATCCCTCGGCACTCACTCATTCCTCTCCAGGTCGTGGTGGATGTATTTGAAGGCCGGATGACTGGCCGGTCGACCAGAGCCGTCCCCCGTCCGGGTCGCGGAGGTAAGGGTGACGCGTCGCTCCACGCGCCGTGACACCACATCCACCACCTCGAGGTCAGTGCCGTCGGGCCGCACCAGCACCGAGAACGCCTGCGGACGGCAGGCTGTCGGGACGGGAAGACGGGCGTCAATGAGCCTGAATCTAATAGTGGTAGGATGGGGACTACAGGCAGTCGGGACAACACGGATTGTCGGTGAGGGCGTACCGATAGTGGGATACTTTGGTCGACAGACTCGTCAGACTGTCGAGACAGGTCTGTGTCAGTGAGGGTATGTCTGAGGCCGCGAATAGATAGAGCATAGAACAACATGGGTAGAGGTGACAAAAGTGTGACCCACCGTGGTACGGGTGAGGCCGCTCCACCAGCGCCGTGCACCGGTCGTCCTTTCGCGACAGTTCCGTGAAGAACGGCTGGAACGAGCCGGGCAGGTCCAGGGGCCCGAACGCCGGCGCCACCAACACTATGGGAACGTGAGTGGTGTCAACGCCGCAAACTTAGCGGAACCCGCGGGAAACAAAAGAAACAGAATGAGACGCACTAACGTCTCATCCAGATTCATATCGGCCATTGATCTTACGCAATGCAATAAGGCATCATAGCAGACATGAAACAAAGTCTTTCACTTTATTTCTGGTTGACAAATTTGAAGTTTGCTTCGATATGAAATTACTCCTTATTGACCCTAAAATTTAGTAAGATGTTTGCGCTCATGGAAGAGCACCCTTGTCTGCTGTTCGGAGAGGAGACTGACCGCGTTTCTCGGCGGGCCGGTGCAGGTACACCCGGTCAATGTTGTACTCGGAATCGGCGGCGTCCGTGCGGGCCAGGTGACGGCGCAGCTGACGCCGGCCGGTGGCCGCGCACGCGGAGCGCACCGCCAGACAGGCCGAGCGGTACGGCTCGCGGCCCAGGCCGAGCTCCCGGCGCGCCAGACAGCACGGCGTCGGCGGCGGGGCCACCCAGCAGGTCCGCGGGGCCCAGCGGCGGGCGGCCGGGGCGGAGCCGGCCCCGTCACCGGACATGGACTGAAACGGAGCAGGCAGTCAGCCAGAAACCAGATCAATGGCGTCCTTACTGATAAGGCCAGGGATGCATGAAGGTACAGTCCAGTACTGGCAATATTTTTTTTTTTTTAAATAAATTTTGTCCGAACCTTTTGATGGGAAGGATTCACAAGGACAGAGCCACCGCTAAGCGAAGCTTGTTGCGATGACCCTGCCCTCTACCCTCCGATCGCGCAATCTTAGTTCTATGGCAGAATTTAGAGTCCAAAGTTTAACGTGCGCACAAAGCCGCGCACGGCCGGTCCCCTCGCTGATTTCGCCTGGCTACGGCCTGCCACCAACCGCAACCATACCTGTCAGGAGGCCCATAAATATCGAGCGCCCGTCGCGCTTCGAACCCGGACTGTTATAACCGGGAACGCGTGCTCTCACCACGCGGAGTCCAACGCTCTAACCAACTGAGCTACGGGACCGGCTAAATTACGGGACCGGCTAAATATATCGGTCATTCTTCCAAAACACTTATCATTACACTAGTAAATCTTATTGTTATACCGCTTCACTCTGGATACGAAATGAATAACATCGATAAAACTACACACTGTATGAATGAGTATCGCATCGGGGTGGAGCGTCCTTTTTGTAAATGGGTACATTGAAAGTTTCTTCCTATGAAGAGACACACGAAGGTTGAAAAAAAAACATCGACCATTCCACCCCACCATTCATCAGTCTCGGCACGACCAAATCGCTTAAGTGTTGAAGTACGGACGACTGTGCTGAGGACCGCACTGCACTCCGAAGCCTTTTACTATGACATTTTATGAGGTAGGCACGCCCAATAGTTCGAAATTAATAAGGAAACGCACAGTGCACATGAAGCTGCTCCGTATGATTCACGAGTACCCATTTTCTGCAGCACCAGTCATCATGCTCACAAAGCATATTGCTACAGCTCAGCCGAGCTGCGCTGCAGGGAAAGTAAGCCACATTCCACTCCATTTGACAGTGTCATTTAGGCAGCACAATGGGGGCATTTCAACCCTCGCCTGCACGTGCGATTTTGCCATCATACATCGCACGTGAGGGTTACCTCACTGTACAGACGCTCAATTACAACCAAATTGAATGTATACCGTACCCATTAAGGTGCAGAAAGGGCACCAGACACGCCAGTTCTTAGAGCATTGAACGGAGGCCACATTCATGGAATGTCAGGGCGTCGCCACGCCATCAAACTTGGTGTCGTTTTTGTGGGTTTTTATACTGCATTCAATCTTCAATTTATCCTCTGATGGATAATCAACACCAATATACGATAAACAGTGGAGTGCAGCGGCCACCGTCCAGTGCGAGGGGCGTGTATCGCCCGGAGCGCATTGCCGCCGCCGTCAGGACGGCCGGGGCGGCTGTTACGCATTGATGTAGGAGCCGGAATGAATTGACCGTGTATTCAGCGTGTTTACACAGAGATGCCATCAATTGGCCCGCTGCTGTGTGTTACGTGAACGGTCGGCGCCGGGTGGGCGCTGTCACTTTCCGGCTGGCACTGAAGGCGGCTGGACAGACAGGCGATCGTCCCTCTCCGGTCAGGATGTGGTCTCACGCGCGGCTGCTGCGGCGCGCCGTGCTCGTGGTCTCTGTGCTCTCGCTCAGCGGGCTACACGTGCAGCAGGAGAGGCCGTCGGCCGTCTGGCGCTCCGCCCGGCTGCTGCCGCTCTCCCTCGGGGCGCTATACATCTCCGGCAGCGTGGCGTTCCAGCTGTCTGCCGTCAGTCTCTTCGCGTTCCTTTACAACGCCGTTATGCTTGCGGCCATTCTATACAACGTCTACGTGATGGCCCACCTCCTCCACCACCGCCGTCGGCTGCACGCGCTGCTGGACCGGGTCGCCGAGCTGGACGAGGCGACCGCGTGCTGCCGCCGCCGCCACGACTACCGCTTCGTCCAGTGGCAGTCGCTGCTGCTCGTTGGCATTCAGGCGCTGGCTGTAATCATCTGGGTGGCTGCCTTCTTCGTGCTGGGAAAGTTCGAGCACCCTCACTACCTGGTGCCGATCGTGGTGCCATCGTTCTTGCACGGCCCCGTCGGGTACTGGCTGGTCGTGACGCTCCAGGCGGTCGTCAACAACTGGTTGTTTGGGTTCTCGGTGCTGTTTGACCTGATCCTGGTCGGTCTCACGGAGGCGTCCACGCTGCTGCTGACGCGTCTGACCCGTCTCACTCATCTCTGGTTGGGTAGCAGCGGCAGTATCGAACGGCGCACTTCCAGTGTGACCCATGAGAAGCAATGGTTAGGAGAAGAAAACGACAAGACAGAACTGGTTTCAGGGACGTCCTGCAGGGTGACGACAGGTCGACCTCAGCTGGCAGACGCCGCTCTGGCCAGCCAGACCATGGTCCGAATCAGCGTCCTGTCTGGCGCCGGACCGGTGACCACCGGCCCGCAGGACGGTCCGTCCTGCCTCTGCGCCGACCGGAAGGCCGGTCCGCACCCCTGCCGCCTGCAGCAGCTGCGCCAGCTCTTCGTCTGCGTCTCCGAACTGACGGCAGCCAGCGCGAAGTTCTGCTCGCTGCCCACTCTCGGGCTGCACGCGCTCGTCACGGCCGTGTTGCTGGTCGGCCTGTACGTGAACGTGCAGCTGTTCCGAGACGACGCCGGTGTGGCGCGCGCCGCCGGCTACGCGCTGTTCCTGCTGCTGACAGTGATACGACTAGCGCTGGTCTCTGTGTCTGGGAGTCGGCTGGCAGACCACAATCACCGCCTGCACGCCACGCTGGCCAGCACCCGCTGGAAGGCAAACACCAGTCCAGACTCGCGGCTGGCGCTTCATCTGCTGCTGGCGCAGACCCAGCAGCCTCTCAGTTTTGACGGCTGGGGTCTGTTTGTCACAAACAAGACCACCATGCAGTCGCTGCTCGGCTTCGTGCTCACCTACTTCATCATCATGATCCAGATGAAGCCGCCGGACAGCACAGAGGTGGCAGTCTGACCGGTGTCACGCTCCCGAGACAACCGCAGCGGTAACAGATCCGGGGACCTCGTCATACGTCGACCAGCCTCAATACATCGGGCTTACGTAAGCGGCAACAAAACGGGCTGACAGACTTCAGAGAATGCTATACTGAAAGGTGTTCCAATTATGACAAAAATGTTGTGCATTGTGTTCCGCAAATTGACGACACATTCATGTACGATTTTCAGCTTGTTATGTAAACCGCGGCATCAAAATAAATTACGCCGAGATCGGATCTCAAGGTCCCCCGAGCAACTAGCAATCACTTGATTCTTGACCATCGTGACTTTGACCCAGGGTATATTGAGTGAAACTTTGACCAGCCACGAGGCGAGCGAAGGACATTTTCGGGGCGCTACCCGGGTGCGAGGGCAAGTTGTCAGGGATCTGTCGACACAGTCCAGAGCGGGGATGCTGGCATAACCCGCGGCCAAGTTGTCTGAGTACTTTTTAATTTCCCATACGTCTATAGTGTAAAAGTGACCCCTATTGCAAATGGGCTGTCAGGGACATCTCCTCCTCTGTAAATTTGGAGGGATCATGTGTCGGCATTCCCACGTTCGTTTCGGAGTCCATCTGTTCCATTTGGAGCCCGTCAGTTGGCGTCAAGAGTTGGCGCAGCGAGCGCCCCGAAGACTGCGTCTGCGCACGAGGCTTCGCGATGGAGGAGTATTTTGACGAAATCGCCCTCGCTGCAGAAGAAATAGAGGGACTTGTTGAGAAAGAGGAGGCCGCAGTGTGCAGACGACTTTAAACTGTACGCCAACGCCAAGACCAAGGCAATCAGGGGGCGTTCAGATGATCGGGAGGTTTCAATTGATCAGGGACCCACCAGGTGACCAGGGAACGCTCTGATAACCAGGGGTCCTTCCAGTAACCAGGGACTCCTTTAATAACCAGGGGCCCCTCAGTAAACGTGGGCCACTCAGGTTACTGCAAGAGACAGGAGTCCCTTATAACCAGGGACCGGCAAGGTCTCTCAGGTCCGTTTTTTGACAAAGCTGTTATTGACGTCATATGCGAGCCCTTTGCCACCAGCAGAGGGCCCTTTCAAGCCTTTTTAGGGCCGTTTAACGTCTCTTGAATTTCCTTTGAGGCTAAGGGCCTCGTCAGCAGCCGAGGGGTCTTTGAGGCCTTTTTGAGGGCCTCTTAACGTCAGCTGAGGACCGTTGGACGCCATCTGAGGACCGTTTGGGGCCTTCTGATGGCCAATACATAGATGCCAACTGAGGGCTCTCTGACACCAGCTGAGGGCACGCTGACACCAACTGGGGGCCTCCTGACACCTGCTAAGGGCGCTTTTATATTTGACACGAGCTCAGGGCCCTTTGACGCCCTTTGAGACCTTCTGAGGTCCGTTTGACGCCAGCAGAGGACCCTTTGGGGTCATATGAGGGCCCTTTGCTGCCTTCTAAGCGGCCTTTGAGGCTTTTTGAGGGCCGCTTGACGTCACCTGAGGACCGTTGCGGTTGGACTCCAGTTACGGACCGTTTGAGGCCTTCTGATGGCCATTTTGCGCCAACTGAGGGCCCTCTGACACTAGCTGGGGGCCCTCTGACACCAGATAAGGGCCCTTTAAGGCCTTCTGAAGTCCGGTTAACGCTAGCGGAGGGCCTTTTGAGGCCAAATGAGGGCCCTTTGAGACCTTATAAGGGCTCCTTGAGGCTTTTGAGGGCCGCGTGACGGCATCTGAGGACCGCTGTACTCCAGCTGACGACCGTTTGAGGCCTTCAGATGGACTTTTGGCGCCAGCTGAGGAGGGCTCACTGACACCAGCTGGGGGCCCTCTGACACAAGCTAAGGACTTCGGAGGGTCGTTTGACGCGAGCTCAGGGCCCTCTGACGCAGGTTTAGGGCCCTTTGACGCCCTTTAAGGTCTTCTGACTTCTGAGGTAGGTTTAACGTTGGCTGAGAGCCCTTTGAACCCATCTGAGGGCCCTTTGAGGCCATCTTGTGGCCCTTCATTTGGCCATCTGAGGGCCCTTTGACACCAGATGAGGGCCAT